CTAACCGCAAGCAAAATGGAGTGACGCTAACCGCAAGCAAAATGGAGTGACGCTAACCGCAAGCAAAATGGAGTGACACTAACCGCAAGCAAAGCTAACCGTGCTAACTGCAAGCAAGCAAGGTAAACATGTACAGCGGTTTATTAACACGTCTACCTTGTATAAGCAACATCCAGGTGTCCAACCCCATACTCCGCCCGGGCGTTATATTTTCCCTTGAGCAGTAGGCTCGCACTGACTGCACGGTTACTATTCCAATATGGCGTCGGGCGCGGTTACTATTCCAACATGGCGTCGGACTCGGGCGCTCTCGTTCGGGCCGACTAATTACGAGCAGTGTCTACACCTGACTGAGTAAGTGAGTGAGTGAGTGACACATTTGCATATCGGAGTCCCCGCAACAAACACATTTCTTCGCTTCGCGTATCCACGAGTTTAAAAAGGACGTCATGGATATCTTGGCCGGGTTCGTTTTTGAACTTATCACTGAAACTGCTGCTGAATATTGCATTGACGATAGTGTCTCTATACAATCTCATGTCTGCCTTAATAATTATTCCTTTCCACGACTTCTCGAGAGCACTGTTTACTTCGTTTAAATTCAGCCACTAACCAGACGTTTTACAAAGTTTCCTGTGACATTTCCAGATATCTCCCGTACTTTTCAAGAAAAACCTTGATCTTCTGTATAAAGTGAAGGGCTCTGGTATGATGAAAGCAGGGAAGCTCTGCGTGTCCGCCATTTTCAGACCCGTTCAATCAGTCGCAAAGTCGGGTAAGTGTACTTGTCTGTTTAGTAAACCTGTTATATCTCTCGCGGCCAATTGCCATGGCTGACCTGGCAAGAGAACACTCAGTACAATATAGCCAAATCATGTGGCCCAGTGTATCATTCTTTTCTCTACGACTTGCCGAATTTATTTCCTTACTTCAAGATGTTCATTTTTCTAGAAATAAAAGAAAGCAGCCTTGGACTTCCAGAGGGAGAACCTCCAGGACCGGTAAGTTGCTGCCAGTGAATAAGACTGCACTCCAGCAAGCTTTAGAATTACACCATACCACGCCTGACAGTTTGAACGTACTTTTGTTCGTTAAAAATCTTTAGAAAGATGCTAAGATTGAGGTACAGACACTGGAGGCATTGCTGAGAGCAGGTATTCCAGCCGATTTGAAATACTATTGTTTAGCTGGAAATGATAACGGCAAACAGCAAATTGCCAGGAATTGACTTAACAATACTTATTTTTTCTTTTCACGTACTACAGAGGTCGGCCCCAAGAAATGGAAAATAACAGATAATATTTCTTGTTTCGTCTCAGTATTTAACTTTCTCTTGCAGAGCGAGGAACTGTTGAAATAAATATTTACCAAGGACGTAATCTGGTAGCAAAGGATGTCAATGGTATGTACACGTTCACGTTTACAGCATTACTGTCAATTCCTTGTTTGTTCTATGTTTGTTTTTTCATTCCACCGTCACTTTCAGGTACTCGCGCAAAATTTCATTTGCCCTTTAACTCTGCGAAAATTTGAAACAGCCAATCAAAAATCTCCATCTACTGCAATGTTTCCCAAAGTTAAAATCATTCACTAACAAAAACATATTTCATAGTTGTATAGACCTGGTTCTACGTTGATGGCAAGATGACGCAACAACGTCGCATGAACAACTGGTTCAGTAATGTTTTGAGTTCAATGATGAGCCCACGTTTTGTAATGACTGCCGTTTATAATAAGACTAAAATCATGCAAACAAGCACAATTTAGCAAACAGAAATACAAACCAATCAGAACTCGAAGCAAAACCATGTAATCAGTAAAAGCGCGGGAAAGAACACGTGGGTCACTCCGCGATTGGTTTTGGTTTTACAAGTGATTGTATGTACGAGAAATTTCTGCGCTCTGATTGGTTACAACACATTGCTCTAAGACCAGTCATTTTTCTTAACAAAATTACAATGAATCCGGAAGGAATTGTTAAAGCCGCGTTACCCAGCGCAATTTTTTTCAGGTAAAAGTGATCCGTTTGTAACAGTAAAGGAAGGTAGTGAAGGACGAGAGAAATTTAGAACAAGAACCATTATGAACACACTTGACCCAGTGTGGAAAGAAACGGCTCTTATAGCCATGCCTGATGTGAATGGACTGCTGCTTCTGGTAAGAAGAATTCTGCCTTGCTACGGCAAGCTGTTCGTTTATGTCGTGTAAATCTTCCTCAACTGATCAACCATCGTTGTTCTTTCAGTTCTGTTTTTATTTCTTTGGTGTTTTCAGCCTTCATAAACTATTACTTTTGGACTTCCTTCCATATGAAACTAACAAACTAACAAACTAAACTGTAAATAATTCCTATCGGAAGGCGCTACTTCAATTTACTTCATAGTATAACAATAACAACAATAACATTTATTATTTGTATTGCGCCTTTTCTATAAAATATTCAAAAGCGCATTATTGTTATTGTTATTGTTATTGTTATTGTTAAAGAGAGAACGGGTTTCCCTCGGACAGGGCTGAACGCCTCGTGCGTCTTCCATGGCCGGAAGGATTCCCAGTGTTCAACTAGTTCCCATAGTTCAACTAGTTGATATATAAATATAGTTACTGAACAAATATCACTGAAATTGTCACTTATCTCCCACCAGTTGATATGCAGTCAGGAAATTCTTAAATTTTCAATATTTTCCCGGATACGTTAACAAATAGAGAATGTGAATGATCATTTTTGCTTTCTTCCTTTCAGGAAGTCTGGGATAAAGATCCGCTGTCACAAGAGAGAATGGGACAAATAGGTTTTACGACGGAGAAACTTAAAGACTTAGGAATGGTAAGAACATTTCCTCCTCATCGTCTTTGAATTTGCTGGAAAACAACCCCTTTTCAGTAATACCCCTTCCCCCAAGCCCTAAAAGAAAAGTTTCAGGTCGTAAAACACAACTATGTTTAATACCAAACTTGTCATAACGTTTCACAGGCTCCGTATGAGAAGCGCTGGTGTAGACTCCGAGGAGTGAAAAGTGGAGAGCTACAGCTGTCATTCAAATACACGGCTCCACAAGTAAGGATGAATATGTTACAAGTAACGCACACAGCAGGCAATATAACGCAACCTATTCGGTCAACAATGTCACGCACCTTCATGCTCGTCTTCTTAAACCTTTCTTCTTTCTTGTCAGCAGAAGAGATTAAGATACCAAGACCCATTCACCCAGTGTCTAGTCATCAAAAACTGATAGTTAATAAACGCACTTTAAAACAAACCAAAAAATTACATTACTTTATGTGGCTAGATATTTGCCGTTCCCTTTCCTTTTTCCAGAAAAATGTTAGCATCTCATTTGTTCTCCAAACCCATGTTTCTTGTGAGAAACAGACTGTGTCATAGTTCAAGAGGCTGCAGTTCGAGTCAGCTTTGATATCACGCGACAGAAATGGAAATAGCTGCACAAACTTATCAAACTATTACTAAGCATTGAGAAATCGGTGAGAATCTATATTGAGCCTTAATTCGTTTCATTTCCCTTGAAAGGTCAACGTAATGTAACAATACTAACCAATCTATTTGATAACATAATAGGCGGAAGATGACAACACCAATAACAACATAAACAACATTGAGTCTCAAGCGCAGAGAGGTTTGTTTTTTTTTTTGTCTACTGTCACTAATATCTTGCTGACTATAGACTACGAGGAGTCCGTCTTTCGTTTAGTCCGTCGTGCGTGACACGAATGAAAACCGCGAGAAAAAAAAATGGCCTTGCGAAATCCTGGGGGCGAGCAGCGCGCGAAAGTACTTTCGCGTTTCGTAGTCTTTGCTAACTACAACATGCACACCAGATCACGCCACCAAGTAATCTTTACTAATTAACTATTAACTTCCATTGCATAGTAACTGAATTCCATAGTTTTAATTCAAATTTAAAGAACTGTTTCCTCTTATTATTGCCTCGACCCTGAGGAAGACTGGCCTTACTAGCTGAATCACTAGTACTTTAGCCTTCGTAGTGCCAGCTTACCATCACTTTGCCGAGTTTTTTGTCGTCTGGTAGGTTCGTTTCTTGAACAAAGCGGCTTATGCTACTTTGTTTGGTCCTCCATATCCAAAAGTTTTATACCTAATTCATGCTAATTATTATAGAGCCAGTGGTTATTTGGAACGTCACGCAATAGAGACGTTGTGTGACAGACAATGTAGTAGACTAACGCTGTTCAGGAAACTTGCCTTGGACATACAAAGTATTTAGAATTTGTTGAATTTTTTCAACATGGAGAGCACTTACAGTTACAATATTACTATGCAGTAATTGACAATCGCCCAATGGATATTATCAGACAATGTGTCTAAATTTTATTCTCGCAGAGAAACCCTCGCTTGAATCAGAAGTTCCAGTTTCAATAGGCACCAATGGCTCTCTACCTTCCACTGTGAGCACGCTTCATACATCCCCGCCAAAAACCAGTCAACAACCTCCACAAGATGAGAGGAATCTTCCATCTTGGGTTGGTACAATGCAAACAAAGAGAAGGTACAATGGTGGAGAGGAGGAGGTTGGGGAAGTGTTTACACCAAGTGCGCCCTTGAAATCATTCTCAAAGGCAGAAACTGAAGGGGAGTACGAGCTCAAAGCTTGGCCACGAAAAAGTGGTCGTCTTCGATCTGTTGTTGATACAGTTCGTTCGCTTCGCTCTCGCTCTCCAGCATCTTTTTCTGGTGCTGAAAATACCTCAGGGCACGGAGAAAGCACAGGGCAAGGAAGCCAAACGGAAGGAAAAGATAAATCCAGGAATACTTCAAGAGTTCTAAAACGGAATTCTATCCGTAAAAAGTTCTCCTTTCTAAAGGATCGCCGACAGCGTAGCGTTAGTGAAAGCCATTTAGGCGTGTTATACTCCTCACAAGATGACATGGATGGTATGGCGGCAAACAGCAGTAAGAATCGTGCACTGAAAAAGCTTATGCGGCGGAGCAGTGAGAATATAACTGGTTCAACGACCCTTAGGCGCGAAAGAAGTCCTGAGAAATGCTTTCACTCTTTGCCGAACAGCCCTATCTCCATTACGTCGGGCAGAGATCATTTTAAACGCAATGTTGGTCAACGAAACTCACGAAGCACTGCTTCTTGTAGCTCTAATTCCCAAGGATCAAGTACAACTCAAGAGAAGTGTCCCGCGTGTGATTTCAACGTTTTAATTTTGAGTGAATGTCCGGACTGCAAAGAATCACAGCAGAAAAACTCTGTGCATCCTTCACCCCACGAAAGACTGATACTTTAATGATTTAAAAACAATGGTGGAAATACGAATTTGTTGATGCTGAGATGAATTTGCTCCTTTGAAGTGCAAGGCATTACAGTAGCACAATTTTTTTTAAAATGAAAATGACGAAAATGACCAAATCAAAGTGGCTGTGAGCCACTGAACTTGGAAAATATATTATGAAAGGGTGTTATGAGGCATTGTTCATTAAGGAACTACTTGTGATGTGAGGGCAGTCTAGCTTTCGAACAAGTCCATAAAGCCTTTTTCCATTCAGGGGTGTGTTGTAATATTTGCAAAATGAAAAAGTTCAACGTTAAGAAACTGTTTGTTACTCAGGCCTGCCTACACGTTTTACATTGCATGTATTTGTACATGTCTTACTTGTGCTGTAGTCAAAAACGGCAAGATCATTTTGTTTGGTCAAAAGTGAAGTATGGACTGAACGAAACACTTCAGCCTGCGGTACGTAAATAAATAATTACTTTCGCCCTTCGTTAACTGATGTAGTGGCACAGTGTGATAGGCGCTGGCTCGCCATACGAGACTTTGGGAGTTCTAATCCTAGTGGTGACTAATGATAATTTTCCTTTCTTCTTCATTGTTTTTTCTTTTTCTGTCAAGAAACCACTTACCGAAAGGTAGCGTTTGTCTTTCCGTCTCCTGTGTTAAAAAAAAATCGTCTGAAGCCTTTAATCATTCGTTTATATCGATTTCTTTCGAACTCACAATATCACGTAGGTTTGTGAAGGAAAAACCACGAAGACTTTCCCTGAATCGAGTCGCTAAGGAAGAACCATAAGTATTTTCCTTCAAGGAAAAAATCGTCATACCTTCTACCTCTCGAAAATAACTAACTTGACATGCTGCAATCCACTGTAGAACGGCCTTAGACGGCTAATGTTCGAAACCCGGAGGGACTCCTATATGAAAAGCTCGGGGATGCTTGTCGTTTCAGGTACAAATCAAGGATTCTGGTCTCACTTAGGATGTTGATGACGAAACGTCACCATTTTTAGCTGTTAAAGTATCCGTTAGGGTGCATTCGAGGAAATAATAATAAAAGAAACGCTCTCATTCAATTTCTGTTGTCAGGCTTGATTTCCGGTGATCTCTCGAGCACGCGAGTCAGGTCTACAAGTGCGCACGGGATCCTTTCTTGAACAGTCGGGGCAGTGAGCAAACCTCTTCCGTTTTAAGTGGCCTTATGGGGTCTAATGAAGTTCAAGCAACGTCCACATTACTCTCCCTTAGGAGTTAAATTCAAATCCTTCCGACGAGCATCCCCTGCCTTTTCATATGTGAGTCCCCCACGGGTTTCCAAATGTGTAACGGGAAGTGTCCCTATGAAGGAGAGAAGGAGTGATGGAGTGAAATCGTTCCATCACTACAACTTGGAAAATAATAAATATTTTCCAAGTTAAGGGAAAACGCACATTTCCATCTACAGAATCATGCCCAGTGAATTCATTAAAATAAGAGATTATTGAGTGACTTTACTTTGAGAGACAAATGATGCTGAAACATTACAAGTACCTCCAATCTTGATAGCACTAGCCAGTGACTAGATTTTCCGGATTTCTCCACTTTGAATAAAATATAAAAGGCAGNGTACTTTTCAAGAAAAACCTTGATCTTCTGTATAAAGTGAAGGGCTCTGGTATGATGAAAGCAGGGAAGCTCTGCGTGTCCGCCATTTTCAGACCCGTTCAATCAGTCGCAAAGTCGGGTAAGTGTACTTGTCTGTTTAGTAAACCTGTTATATCTCTCGCGGCCAATTGCCATGGCTGACCTGGCAAGAGAACACTCAGTACAATATAGCCAAATCATGTGGCCCAGTGTATCATTCTTTTCTCTACGACTTGCCGAATTTATTTCCTTACTTCAAGATGTTCATTTTTCTAGAAATAAAAGAAAGCAGCCTTGGACTTCCAGAGGGAGAACCTCCAGGACCGGTAAGTTGCTGCCAGTGAATAAGACTGCACTCCAGCAAGCTTTAGAATTACACCATACCACGCCTGACAGTTTGAACGTACTTTTGTTCGTTAAAAATCTTTAGAAAGATGCTAAGATTGAGGTACAGACACTGGAGGCATTGCTGAGAGCAGGTATTCCAGCCGATTTGAAATACTATTGTTTAGCTGGAAATGATAACGGCAAACAGCAAATTGCCAGGAATTGACTTAACAATACTTATTTTTTCTTTTCACGTACTACAGAGGTCGGCCCCAAGAAATGGAAAATAACAGATAATATTTCTTGTTTCGTCTCAGTATTTAACTTTCTCTTGCAGAGCGAGGAACTGTTGAAATAAATATTTACCAAGGACGTAATCTGGTAGCAAAGGATGTCAATGGTATGTACACGTTCACGTTTACAGCATTACTGTCAATTCCTTGTTTGTTCTATGTTTGTTTTTTCATTCCACCGTCACTTTCAGGTACTCGCGCAAAATTTCATTTGCCCTTTAACTCTGCGAAAATTTGAAACAGCCAATCAAAAATCTCCATCTACTGCAATGTTTCCCAAAGTTAAAATCATTCACTAACAAAAACATATTTCATAGTTGTATAGACCTGGTTCTACGTTGATGGCAAGATGACGCAACAACGTCGCATGAACAACTGGTTCAGTAATGTTTTGAGTTCAATGATGAGCCCACGTTTTGTAATGACTGCCGTTTATAATAAGACTAAAATCATGCAAACAAGCACAATTTAGCAAACAGAAATACAAACCAATCAGAACTCGAAGCAAAACCATGTAATCAGTAAAAGCGCGGGAAAGAACACGTGGGTCACTCCGCGATTGGTTTTGGTTTTACAAGTGATTGTATGTACGAGAAATTTCTGCGCTCTGATTGGTTACAACACATTGCTCTAAGACCAGTCATTTTTCTTAACAAAATTACAATGAATCCGGAAGGAATTGTTAAAGCCGCGTTACCCAGCGCAATTTTTTTCAGGTAAAAGTGATCCGTTTGTAACAGTAAAGGAAGGTAGTGAAGGACGAGAGAAATTTAGAACAAGAACCATTATGAACACACTTGACCCAGTGTGGAAAGAAACGGCTCTTATAGCCATGCCTGATGTGAATGGACTGCTGCTTCTGGTAAGAAGAATTCTGCCTTGCTACGGCAAGCTGTTCGTTTATGTCGTGTAAATCTTCCTCAACTGATCAACCATCGTTGTTCTTTCAGTTCTGTTTTTATTTCTTTGGTGTTTTCAGCCTTCATAAACTATTACTTTTGGACTTCCTTCCATATGAAACTAACAAACTAACAAACTAAACTGTAAATAATTCCTATCGGAAGGCGCTACTTCAATTTACTTCATAGTATAACAATAACAACAATAACATTTATTATTTGTATTGCGCCTTTTCTATAAAATATTCAAAAGCGCATTATTGTTATTGTTATTGTTATTGTTATTGTTAAAGAGAGAACGGGTTTCCCTCGGACAGGGCTGAACGCCTCGTGCGTCTTCCATGGCCGGAAGGATTCCCAGTGTTCAACTAGTTCCCATAGTTCAACTAGTTGATATATAAATATAGTTACTGAACAAATATCACTGAAATTGTCACTTATCTCCCACCAGTTGATATGCAGTCAGGAAATTCTTAAATTTTCAATATTTTCCCGGATACGTTAACAAATAGAGAATGTGAATGATCATTTTTGCTTTCTTCCTTTCAGGAAGTCTGGGATAAAGATCCGCTGTCACAAGAGAGAATGGGACAAATAGGTTTTACGACGGAGAAACTTAAAGACTTAGGAATGGTAAGAACATTTCCTCCTCATCGTCTTTGAATTTGCTGGAAAACAACCCCTTTTCAGTAATACCCCTTCCCCCAAGCCCTAAAAGAAAAGTTTCAGGTCGTAAAACACAACTATGTTTAATACCAAACTTGTCATAACGTTTCACAGGCTCCGTATGAGAAGCGCTGGTGTAGACTCCGAGGAGTGAAAAGTGGAGAGCTACAGCTGTCATTCAAATACACGGCTCCACAAGTAAGGATGAATATGTTACAAGTAACGCACACAGCAGGCAATATAACGCAACCTATTCGGTCAACAATGTCACGCACCTTCATGCTCGTCTTCTTAAACCTTTCTTCTTTCTTGTCAGCAGAAGAGATTAAGATACCAAGACCCATTCACCCAGTGTCTAGTCATCAAAAACTGATAGTTAATAAACGCACTTTAAAACAAACCAAAAAATTACATTACTTTATGTGGCTAGATATTTGCCGTTCCCTTTCCTTTTTCCAGAAAAATGTTAGCATCTCATTTGTTCTCCAAACCCATGTTTCTTGTGAGAAACAGACTGTGTCATAGTTCAAGAGGCTGCAGTTCGAGTCAGCTTTGATATCACGCGACAGAAATGGAAATAGCTGCACAAACTTATCAAACTATTACTAAGCATTGAGAAATCGGTGAGAATCTATATTGAGCCTTAATTCGTTTCATTTCCCTTGAAAGGTCAACGTAATGTAACAATACTAACCAATCTATTTGATAACATAATAGGCGGAAGATGACAACACCAATAACAACATAAACAACATTGAGTCTCAAGCGCAGAGAGGTTTGTTTTTTTTTTTGTCTACTGTCACTAATATCTTGCTGACTATAGACTACGAGGAGTCCGTCTTTCGTTTAGTCCGTCGTGCGTGACACGAATGAAAACCGCGAGAAAAAAAAATGGCCTTGCGAAATCCTGGGGGCGAGCAGCGCGCGAAAGTACTTTCGCGTTTCGTAGTCTTTGCTAACTACAACATGCACACCAGATCACGCCACCAAGTAATCTTTACTAATTAACTATTAACTTCCATTGCATAGTAACTGAATTCCATAGTTTTAATTCAAATTTAAAGAACTGTTTCCTCTTATTATTGCCTCGACCCTGAGGAAGACTGGCCTTACTAGCTGAATCACTAGTACTTTAGCCTTCGTAGTGCCAGCTTACCATCACTTTGCCGAGTTTTTTGTCGTCTGGTAGGTTCGTTTCTTGAACAAAGCGGCTTATGCTACTTTGTTTGGTCCTCCATATCCAAAAGTTTTATACCTAATTCATGCTAATTATTATAGAGCCAGTGGTTATTTGGAACGTCACGCAATAGAGACGTTGTGTGACAGACAATGTAGTAGACTAACGCTGTTCAGGAAACTTGCCTTGGACATACAAAGTATTTAGAATTTGTTGAATTTTTTCAACATGGAGAGCACTTACAGTTACAATATTACTATGCAGTAATTGACAATCGCCCAATGGATATTATCAGACAATGTGTCTAAATTTTATTCTCGCAGAGAAACCCTCGCTTGAATCAGAAGTTCCAGTTTCAATAGGCACCAATGGCTCTCTACCTTCCACTGTGAGCACGCTTCATACATCCCCGCCAAAAACCAGTCAACAACCTCCACAAGATGAGAGGAATCTTCCATCTTGGGTTGGTACAATGCAAACAAAGAGAAGGTACAATGGTGGAGAGGAGGAGGTTGGGGAAGTGTTTACACCAAGTGCGCCCTTGAAATCATTCTCAAAGGCAGAAACTGAAGGGGAGTACGAGCTCAAAGCTTGGCCACGAAAAAGTGGTCGTCTTCGATCTGTTGTTGATACAGTTCGTTCGCTTCGCTCTCGCTCTCCAGCATCTTTTTCTGGTGCTGAAAATACCTCAGGGCACGGAGAAAGCACAGGGCAAGGAAGCCAAACGGAAGGAAAAGATAAATCCAGGAATACTTCAAGAGTTCTAAAACGGAATTCTATCCGTAAAAAGTTCTCCTTTCTAAAGGATCGCCGACAGCGTAGCGTTAGTGAAAGCCATTTAGGCGTGTTATACTCCTCACAAGATGACATGGATGGTATGGCGGCAAACAGCAGTAAGAATCGTGCACTGAAAAAGCTTATGCGGCGGAGCAGTGAGAATATAACTGGTTCAACGACCCTTAGGCGCGAAAGAAGTCCTGAGAAATGCTTTCACTCTTTGCCGAACAGCCCTATCTCCATTACGTCGGGCAGAGATCATTTTAAACGCAATGTTGGTCAACGAAACTCACGAAGCACTGCTTCTTGTAGCTCTAATTCCCAAGGATCAAGTACAACTCAAGAGAAGTGTCCCGCGTGTGATTTCAACGTTTTAATTTTGAGTGAATGTCCGGACTGCAAAGAATCACAGCAGAAAAACTCTGTGCATCCTTCACCCCACGAAAGACTGATACTTTAATGATTTAAAAACAATGGTGGAAATACGAATTTGTTGATGCTGAGATGAATTTGCTCCTTTGAAGTGCAAGGCATTACAGTGGCACAATTTTTTTTAAAATGAAAATGACGAAAATGACCAAATCAAAGTGGCTGTGAGCCACTGAACTTGGAAAATATATTATGAAAGGGTGTTATGAGGCATTGTTCATTAAGGAACTACTTGTGATGTGAGGGCAGTCTAGCTTTCGAACAAGTCCATAAAGCCTTTTTCCATTCAGGGGTGTGTTGTAATATTTGCAAAACGAAAAAGTTCAACGTTAAGAAACTGTTTGTTACTCAGGCCTGCCTACACGTTTTACATTGCATGTATTTGTACATGTCTTACTTGTGCTGTAGTCAAAAACGGCAAGATCATTTTGTTTGGTCAAAAGTGAAGTATGGACTGAACGAAACACTTCAGCCTGCGGTACGTAAATAAATAATTACTTTCGCCCTTCGTTAACTGATGTAGTGGCACAGTGTGATAGGCGCTGGCTCGCCATACGAGACTTTGGGAGTTCTAATCCTAGTGGTGACTAATGATAATTTTCCTTTCTTCTTCATTGTTTTTTCTTTTTCTGTCAAGAAACCACTTACCGAAAGGTAGCGTTTGTCTTTCCGTCTCCTGTGTTAAAAAAAAATCGTCTGAAGCCTTTAATCATTCGTTTATATCGATTTCTTTCGAACTCACAATATCACGTAGGTTTGTGAAGGAAAAACCACGAAGACTTTCCCTGAATCGAGTCGCTAAGGAAGAACCATAAGTATTTTCCTTCAAGGAAAAAATCGTCATACCTTCTACCTCTCGAAAATAACTAACTTGACATGCTGCAATCCACTGTAGAACGGCCTTAGACGGCTAATGTTCGAAACCCGGAGGGACTCCTATATGAAAAGCTCGGGGATGCTTGTCGTTTCAGGTACAAATCAAGGATTCTGGTCTCACTTAGGATGTTGATGACGAAACGTCACCATTTTTAGCTGTTAAAGTATCCGTTAGGGTGCATTCGAGGAAATAATAATAAAAGAAACGCTCTCATTCAATTTCTGTTGTCAGGCTTGATTTCCGGTGATCTCTCGAGCACGCGAGTCAGGTCTACAAGTGCGCACGGGATCCTTTCTTGAACAGTCGGGGCAGTGAGCAAACCTCTTCCGTTTTAAGTGGCCTTATGGGGTCTAATGAAGTTCAAGCAACGTCCACATTACTCTCCCTTAGGAGTTAAATTCAAATCCTTCCGACGAGCATCCCCTGCCTTTTCATATGTGAGTCCCCCACGGGTTTCCAAATGTGTAACGGGAAGTGTCCCTATGAAGGAGAGAAGGAGTGATGGAGTGAAATCGTTCCATCACTACAACTTGGAAAATAATAAATATTTTCCAAGTTAAGGGAAAACGCACATTTCCATCTACAGAATCATGCCCAGTGAATTCATTAAAATAAGAGATTATTGAGTGACTTTACTTTGAGAGACAAATGATGCTGAAACATTACAAGTACCTCCAATCTTGATAGCACTAGCCAGTGACTAGATTTTCCGGATTTCTCCACTTTGAATAAAATATAAAAGGCAGTCGACCGTAAGAGTGCCTAACTGTCATCACCTGAAGAATATGGGCGCTTGAAGAACATTCGTTTCGTTCGGCTGTTTGAGATTTTGCGACGTAAAGCAAAAGTAAGATATGTCATACGTACCTTGTCAGTTCTTTCTGGATAGGCAGTGTTACATGTTTGTCTTTAAATATAAACAAGTCCAAGGATATTGAAATAATCCCGCCATGTTGTTTCGTGTTTTTCAGTGTGTACTACACAACGACTAAAGAAACCGCATAATGTCTTTATTGCGGGCGTTCGTTATCTCCTGTGAAAACCCGGGTGGGGTGAGGGGGTTAAAATAAAAACAAGACATAACTAGTAGTAATCAAAGATTAGAGCAGTACGTTTACGTCCGTACTTTGCATGTTTGGTCTACTTTGGTGGCGTTTGAATGGCTCAATAGGAAACTGAGCTTGATCGAATGACAGATAACGATCTACACGTGAAGTTGAACTGGCGATGAAAAAATTAAAGCCTGCGGTAAAGGTGTTTTTAATTAATTAATTAAGTATTAACCTGTACTGGACGAAATATTTTCCAGGAAAGGCATTTAAACTGTTGGCGATACTTAGAATTCAATTTACAAAAAGCCCATTTCTTGAGAAAATAAAGTTTTGACCAGCGACCCTGCAAGACAGCACGTCCCCAAATGTTTTTAAATTTTGTGTTTGTATCTCTTAAACATTGCTCGAATTTACATCTTGTCTTCGCAAATGAAAAAGGTGAATTAACCATTCTGACCACAAAACAGGGCCTTTTGGCGAGTTACACAACACGCAAAGTTTGCTTTTTGACAACCAGTTATGGCCACCACGAATTTGCGCTACAAATCGGAAAATTTATTTTCTGACCACAGATGCGAGGGTCATCATGGACATTTGCCGAGCTACACGGAAAATTTGTTTTCTTACCACAAGCTCGTGGCCATTTG